AATATATAACTACCTTTTTCTTCTTCTAAACACCAATAATTATCTATTTTTCTTATTTTAATTTCCATAATCAACCTGACTCTGATACCAATATAGGGGAGCTACTTAGAGCGAACAAAAATTAAATCAAATAAAAATTATCAAATTTCAACCACTATTTAATTTTAAGGACTAAAATAGAAAATTTCTATATTATGATGCCTTGTTATATAATATCCAAATGGAGGGCATTTTTTGTATATAAATTGTCTAAGGGTCATTTTGGAAAATTAATCATTTTGAAAATATTATTTCTATATAATTCCCCTAAAAGTGTCCTAAAAATTTACAAAACATCCCTCATAACTTTTCAATTTTTTTAAAAAAAAGTCCTCGAAATTATTTTTGAAAATTACAAGCTGGCACCTAGGCGCGAACTTTCCAGCCAAAATTAAGAATTTGTCGCCTAAGTGCTACACTTTCTTGCCCTTTTTGCAGCTTAAGTTCCATGTAATTGCTTGTTAGGTCCTTCACTTTGATCTTGTACATTTTGATCCTCAAAATTTGAATTATCATTCGATTATGCCATTCAAAATTTGCATCTAGTTTCCTTCAACTTTCGGCATACGTGCACTTGGTCCCTTTTTACTTACTTTTGTTTCATACTCCTTCAATTTGGTATTTTTCGGCTATAAAAGCCAACTTTACCAATTGTGGGTAGAATTTTCATTCATTTAACCAATAATAGCTTAAATAAATGTCCAATAATTGTGTAAAAATACACTTAAACCCCGTTTGATTCCCACTCCTTGACCACAAAATGAAAAATATGACTGTTATCCATTACATCAAGTTATCATATTTAACTTTCTATCTTTTGTGTGAGTTTCATAATGGCTATATTTTTTATTCTCATTCTAACAAAAATTGATACCAAACGGTGGCTTATCAAGTTCTCTCCAATGGCGTATTTGACATAAAAATGAATATATCGATGAATTCGATCTCCGATTCCAATGAATGTAGAGGCAGAGTCGAAGGGTGTCGTCGAAATTCATTTTGCTTTGGTTTCCTTTATGCTCTAGTCGTAAATAACGAGAGAAAATAAGGGTTGTTGTGTAGAGAGAAGGTGATAATAGAGGGAATCGGGTTGCTCGTGGGATGTTGGAAGAAAATAGGGAAATTATGGGAAGATGAGAATACCATTCTCTTTGGATAAGAGTAGTGCTCACCCATTCATTTAATTTAATGGAGTATTTGGATTGAAATTGACGAAAATGATATTCTGCTTAATAAAAGGTAAAAATACAAAAATTTAGAAGATATTAACGTTTTGCATAATAAAAATAAAAGATAGGTACATTTCGTGCTTATTTCCCTTTTTGCAAATGATTAACGATTACTTTGTAATTTCAATATTCTATTCTCAAAACAGACTCTCTTGAGTCTTGAACATCTTCAAATATCAAAGGCCCAGCCCACGACTTCCCCAAATTATTATTTCACACGGAGGTTAAAATTGTACTTTCATAATCCCAGATCCAGTATTAGGGTTTTGTTGAGCCCCCTTTCCATGTCTATATATACTCACACCACATTCCTCATTGTCCTCACCTATGCCACCCTTCCATACGCGCACGCAAGGTATATGTTCATTAGGGTTAGTACAAATTAGGGTTTTGATTTTCATTTATATTGAAGCTTATGAAGAGCTGTGATGAGAAATTGTCATGCACCACTCTGACTATTATCAGGTTGATGATAATTTTATGTACCCATTCAATTTCTGAGCTCTTTCAATTTAGATTCACTTTTTTTTTTTCCGAATTATTTTACTCAGATTCGAGAATTTTTCTGCTTCGAAATCGCAGTAAAAATGTTTTCCTGTTTTATTTTACAATTTTCGATTTATTGTTTCTAAAAGATATTTTTATTTACTGCTTTGAAATCTTTTAATTCTGGAATAAAAAAATGTTTTCAATTTCTAGTTTTTATTTTCATTTTTCAATTCATTTTTCAGCTTTGGAATTATTTCAGTTTTAATGTAATTTTATAATTGAAGAGATTTCACAACTACGAGGAACCAAGTGATGGATCTTTCTTTGTTGAGAAAGTTCAAACCATGATGCGGACCGTACAATAGCTTAAAGCTTCTGGGGATAAACTTTGGTCTCTGATGGTTCCTTCTTGTGCTTATTTTCTTTCTTTTTTTGAACAGGAAAAAGTGATAATGTTAATTTTACTTATTCATATCAATCATTATATATGGAATATTGCAAAATATTTAAAACCTTAGTTTTTAGTTTTTGAAATTGGTCCAGCAAGTTAAATTTATGATATTAAAACCTTATTTTAATTACATGTTATTCTATAAAATGATATGTAAATTTATTTATTTTTTTAATTTTTTTAATTACATATTTTTTATTAATATGCGGTTTAAAAATGTATTTTTATGAAAATAATGTTGTTCAAACACTAATATAAAGACATTTGGTGATTCAAATTTGAACTTATGTTTATTTATGATATTAATGATATATGTATTTTTAATTAAGTTTATAGCTTTTATTTTTTTTTAAAATGGTTTTGAAAGTCGATAAAAATCATTTGATTTTATGAGTAATTATACTAACATAAAGTAATGCATATATGTTTTTTTATTTCGATGTATGAACTAATGATGGCCTATGAGTTGAACCTTGGATTCATCGGTTGAACCGGTAATTCTACGATCGTGTTGGATTTGACAACCCAGAAAACAGGAGGCCTTTTTGGTTTCCATCAATTTCCTTTTATGCCAAAGAAGAGAATTGTCATGCTCTATTGTGAACGCTTTTTCCTATTTATAAGTACAATTTTCAATAGATTTTAATAAAAATTGAAGAAATGAATAGTTAAAAAATTGAGGGTTCTATAAAATGTGTGATTAAAATTAATTGTTGATTTTGAATTAAAATCAAAATTTTAATTTTAATTTTTACCAAACAAGAGATAATATACTCGATACAAGAATGAAACAAATTGAATTCTTGAACGATCATTCTCCAATCAAAAGTATTGACATAACCCAATCACCAAATTACAAGTTTCACAGATATTGCAACCCCAATTTTACATTTATCGATAATAAAAATTTCCCACCAGTTTCTCAAAAATCCATTGCTGCTGATAAAATTCCTTATTCATATACATAAACATGAAAAGGACGGGTTCTGTCAAATTTGACAGATCAGAGGTCGTAAGTTTGATTCATGGGGTTCTTGGAAAGTAAGGATTTATTCTTGGAAGGCAATGCTTATTTTTGGAAGTCAAAGTGTAACTTGGATTGACTTGCTTGACACTTTGACAGATCAGGTGGGGATGACTCAGACCCTGGTTAGTTGGAGGCACATCCCACGATTAACTGGACTGTGTGAAAAGGGGCCGGATCACAGACCCAAGGATTAGTCAAGAATTGGACACCTTGTAAAAAAAAAAAAATCATGAAAAGAAATCCACATCACAGTCTGTGCATACTAAGACTTGTTTGATATGATTTTTGATAAAAAGAATATTTGAGGTTCAAAAATTATTTTTAGATTTGTTTAATTAATTTTATAAAAATGCGTCTTTTAAAAGCTCTTTCGAGAGAGTTCTTTTAAAAATTCGTTTGCAAACATTAATGGTCTGTTTGTTGCTTCTAGAAATTTTTTTGAAGGAAATTACTTTAATTTTTCATTTGAAAACTACTCTTCTAACTACAAAAAGTACTTATATAAAAATAGCCAAAATGGATCCAAAAATAACCTTATAATCTCAAAAATTCATTTTGATTTTTCAAAAGCTATGGCGAACAGAAACTAATTAAGGTAAAATTTTCAAAAAAAAAAAAATTCTACAATTAGAAGAAGCAAAAGCGTTTCCTAATTAGCCTAGACAGCATGAAAATGGTCTAGCCTTTTAGATTGAGATTTTGACATTTTAACTTATTTAGTGCATGTTTGGTATTGATTTATCACCTCAAAAAATCAAAATTTTATCGGTTATTTTACTATTCAAGACCTCATTTTTTACTTATTCTCTCACAAGTAAGTCCTACTTTTCTCTCAAACGGTCAAAAAATTAATTTTCAAAATCATTACTGAACAATCCCTTAATGGCTTTACGAAAATCAACAACGTGGAAGTAGAAAATTATACATACGGCTTGCTTTTATACTAAATTTTGGGGAATATTACGTCCCAATTTTATTTTTGATAATAAAAGTTGTGCTACACTTACAAACATGATTTACAAAGTATGTTGATAAACTAAGATCCACACCAATCATTTTAAAAATAGGTTTTTAAATCATTTAAAATTAATGGTTTGAATTTTGCCAACACATTTTTTGTCAACTAACTTTGTAATGGAACTTTGTACAAGTAGAATTATTATTTTCATAATAGTCATTATTGATAAATAAATAAAAAAGTGTGGTTAAAAAAAAAAGAAAAATATTTTATATTTACGTGTAAAATTATATTATGGGAGAATCTATTGTTGAAAATGAATTTTGAGAAAAAATAAATTTTGATAAAAATTGGACTCAGTTGGAAGTTTAATAAAAGCTATGATCCCATAAATTTTGTTATTGAAAATAAATTATATTTTTTAAAAACAAAAAAGGAAATACTCATGCTGAGGTTCTCTGGCCCATTTTAGCTCTCATTTCATAGCAAATTTTCGCCGCAAAAAATTAAATTTTTAATTATTATTTTATCATTTTAACTGTTATTTTTAACTTCTTCTACTTATGTCTCCAACGATAAAAACAAAAAAAAAAATACGACTTTCAACTGTACACTCAGTTTCACAGCCCCCTCACAATGAGGGGGCTCCACCTGTTTTTTATTTTTTTTACAGTGCATGGACCCCACATTGTGAAGGGGTCCCACCTGTTTTTTTATTTTTTTACTGTGCATGGACCCTCGATGTGAGGGGCTGTTAAACTTGGTGTGAACCGTGCTGTGTATATAGCACAGTTCAAAAAATAATTCTCATACGTAACAGGCACTTGGTAAATTCAGTTTCATCCTCTGGATAACTAATCTATGAACAAACCGCCCAGGACCAGAATTTTGGAACAAACACATTTTTCTTGTTAAACCATGGCTTCTATAGCGAACGTCACCGTATCATCAACTGGTGCACGTTTACTCTGCGGCCCGGCCACTTTAACCTTGAGCAGAGCGTCTTTCAGTTTCATTTCATCCTCAAAGTGTTACTCAACGTTGGGTTTTAATCCCCTGCTGCGCAGGAACCGTGCACTGCCCTCAAGAAAGCTCGTGGTTCGTGCTGCCAGAACCGAGTCCCAAGGACTCTCTCTTGGTTTTCGGGCACCTGATTTTGAGGTGCGTGTGTATACAAATAAGGTTTGGAAATGTTCTAATCCGTTTAAAGTTTAAGTGAGCAGTCCATTTCAGGTGGATTGTTCTCAAATGAGCCACCTTATTAATGGGTAAAACCTATTTATTGTATTCATTTGTTGAATGGAAGCTTTTTGCATTTGAATTGAGAAAATATGTATGAACCTCGCTTCTGAATTGGAAATTATTGAGCTTTTAATTTTCTTCTATGATTACCCTGTTCATTTATTGTTTTGGAATTCCAATTCTAGCTTCCGGAGCCTCTTACCGGGAAAATTTGGAAACTAGAAGACTTTGAATCACACCCGGCATTGCTGGTACTTATTTTGTCTATTTCATGTAGAGGTTTTTATTATTGAACTGTTGTATTTGTTAATATTCTGTGTTTTGGAAATTATTTTATATTGACTATCAGCGCAAATACAAATTTATGAAAGCTCAAGTAAGGTTCCAGGATTTGTGTGTAGAGGGTTGGGCATGAAATGGATGGGAGGTATTAGAATTCCATATTGGAACATTTACAAAATTTTATGTGTAAAATCCAAGGATTCTTCACCTGTTTCAAATAATATTAGGACAAATAATTGAGACCAAACTAGCCCTTGTTTGAGCCCCAATTTGGGGGGGGGG